ATGGACCTTCGGCGCTCGACAAGGACAACTACTGGCCTTGTTCCAATTATAGATAAAGATCGGCGATGTATATGAAAAACCTTGTCAGCCTCGTGTGATTTGAAGGTGATCAAAGCGAAGGACACATGAAAATGTTTTCCTCGCTTTTACTACCCTCTAGCATTCCAAAGACGTAAAAGTGAAACCTATGGAACAACCGCGGTGCGGGTGGCGACCCAGCAAGGGCAGAATTTAAATAGAACAGCACGATTTATGGGATGAAACTCAGGGAAGGGTAAAATCTTCGTAAACCTAAATAAACATCCCCAGATCTTCACGGGCGCAGGTTGCCCTCAGACTGTCCCCATACACAGACCACATTACTACGAAAATACCGGCTGCAACCTTGACATTCCCATCATTTCCCTATTCGCCACTACTTTTCAAAGCCAAGCTAAAAATAATACTTATGGTTAGCCGAGAGGGTGAGAGCGGTCCTGGTAGCTAATGGATAGCGCACTCGACCGGAAAGCGTGAAGCGGGCTTCGAGCCCCATTTGGAGCCAAGAAATTTGCCCACAACTCAGCATTCTTGTGTTAAAAATACACTCTTTAGTAGAAACTGAGCTCTTACCCAACGCTTATAAGGGTTTACTAAAGCGAAACTCTCTCAGAAACTACGCTGCAAGCCGACAGAAATCACAAAGGTCGCGTTCACACTTCGCAATCGGTGCGCGCGATTGGCGGGTCGATCGAGGCCGCTTTCGCTTCATCGCTGGCCGTTGAACCATTGCATACAAGCGGAAGAAGCTTTATTCCAAACGTGGTTGAATAGGCAACTGCAGCGATTTGGTAGCGGTGATAAGAATCCACTCCAGCGATAAAATACGGCCCCGCTGGGATTCTCGGCGAGTCGCTCGAGTCGAGAAGTATGAACGCTGCCTTAATACACAGGGTCCCGAACTGCTTAGCGATTGCCATGGACACTATGAAACATCAGCCCACGACCACAGATTGTGGGTAACGGAACCCACATAGGAACGAAGAAGGGCTTGGTATCTGATTAGCGGAGAAAAGCAGCGGAAAAACAGCCGAGAATGCCCTAAATAGGATTCCATATCGACCCCAACTTGTACATGCATGCAATGAAGAAAACGCATGTTTGTACGAATTTCCACTCGTCGTTATCATAAAGATATCAGCTCTTTTATCGTATCACCTCACTCACCATTCGGAATGGAGAGAGATAGCATAGTGGCTACTAGCTAGTAGCTAGCAGCCGGTGGGGGTCGGCATGGGCCTAAGGGGCGCCAATGGGCCTAATTGGTTAGCTTAAAGCGGAATTCTTGCCGATTTTCACTTTCTAAAGGTAGCGCAGCCTCCGCAATCTCCTTCCGGATCGTCTGACACATTTGAAAGGTCATAGCCTTATTTTATCGCGGAAAGTGCCTTTAAAACAGTCCGCGAACTGCTGTAGGATTGCATGAAAACGAGATGCAGTCATTTAATTCTTCCATTCTTGTACAGGAGTTACTTGCAGTTCAAGACCGCACTGGTATCATCGAGCACACATTCCACAGTCGTCGTATAGGCGGAGCCGACATTACCCTGGCGTATTTCTCAACTGACGCATCCCTTTTGGTCTGAGACAGCAAGCGAAGGCGGTACTAATAGGAAGGCACAGTGGTGGGCCCGGCTACCCATAAAAAGAGCGCGGATCGTTTCATTAAGGGATGTAAACATCAGTTGATACGTCGCCGCGAGTGGAGCGGACGTTTGTGCTGAATGCGACCCCTCTGATTAATACGTCCTCCTTCCAAATAACCACCTTCTCAACAAAATTTCCCAAAATTTTGCCGTCAAGTTCGGCGTAGAGCGGGCGCAGGAGGGGGGGGGGGGGAAGGGAACACCTGTGATGAAGAATCAGAAATTGAGAATGGTCACCGGGACACATACCCATCTCCCTCCAGCGATAAAATACGGCCCCGCTGGGGATTCTCGGCGAACGACGCGACTACCCTGTATGAGGTAAATCCCTAACTAGCGCGCGCTGCTCTAGAGAGCTGCTAGACCGAAATTAGTGACTCCGCTTATTTGTCCTTCAATTAGTTCACCCGGTATTGACGCAACGTCGCGGCGACATAGCTGGGCCTAGCAGTGCCCGTCCCAATACCTGAGCATACAGGCTAGAAATTATCGACCAGACTGTATATGTACTGTGCTCCCGATAACGAAGATTCGGCGCTGTTCGGCTTGGTAGGGGCATTTTGCACTCCTGCTCCTTCCTTTTGTTAGTTCACATTAACTAACAGGTCTAATTTGGGTAAAACTAACAGGTCTAATTTGGGTAAAATCTATGAGCTCTCGTGGAGCTGCACAGTGGTACAAGAGAACCTTTTCGGTTACAAGAATTAACAGGTCTTCACAAGTAGACCTGAACAGACTGCATTGAGCACCATTTGGCGCCCTCCCCCACCAAGCCAAACTGCTGTAAGATTCTTTTTGCCTTACTACAATCAGCCATGTTGGCTCATTCTACTCGAGTCAACTGTCAAGAAACCATTCATATTTACCAATCGGTTACAATTCACTGCGCTACTATAACCATTTGAAAGCCTATAGCGGCTACTCAGCGCAACCGCTCGCGTCCGGTTTTGGTTTTTCACACTCATTCGCCTTAACGTGATGGGTAGACATATAAAATGACTAGATGTTTCCATGGATAAGTAATGCATGCAAAAGATTTAATCACACAGAAAGAAAAAAACTCACCCATGGCTTTTGTTTCTTCTCGTTTCGCATTTAGTATGGAGAACTTGAATTTGGCACGCACTTCACTCTTGGCACATTGCACGAGTAACAGGTAAAGCGACAAATAATCCCTTGATTCTTCATCCAGTCCTTTTGGATTTATCCGCAGACACCATTTTAGCTTGTCACTAGCGCCTGCCGAAAACGGTTGACGATTTGTAGGCACCTCTGCAAAGTGGTTTACTCGATAGCTACTACTACAGTGGACTTGTGGTAAATAAAAAAAGCGAAGGCCAAATGGGAGGTAGCGAAAGTAAGATAAAGCAGCAATATGAATTGAGCAGCCTTGCCAACAGGGTACGTCCTGCCGTTGGGGAAACTTTTGCTAATTATAACCCCCCTCCTCCTCCTCGAAGTTTCTCCTCCGGTATGACTCGCTCCCTCCCTTCACACCCAACACTCCACCTATAACTCCCCTGAATTCTGCCAACTTCCTACCACCGAGTTACGGAGTTCCTCTTACAGAAAAATGGCGTCGAGCAAAGGAAGAGAGGGAGAGGCGGGGAAAGGGGTAGTGAATTTAGCAGTGCGGGGATTCAGTGGGGCATCGTTGGGTGAAACACACGTGGAGGTCGTACTTGGCCGCTAGCTAGGAGGGGGTCTTAATGTGTGTCTGAGGAAACTTAATTTATTTATTTATTCAATTTGTTATTTTAAAATCTGCCGCTTGGGAGGAAATTTTTCCCGCTTGTTGACTTTCGCAGTTTTTCCCATTTTACTATTGGCTATATCTGATATTCCTTTCCCCCCCCCCCTCCGCTCGACACGAACTTCTTGGGTGTAAACCTGGAAAATTTTCGGAAAATTCCGGAAAAGTGGTAGGATGTTGGGAACCTATGGGAAAAGTGATAAGTGGGTGTTGGGAAGGTGAAGGGAACGGGGGGGCGGGGGGGATCGTACCGAACCCCTCCTTCGAGGGGTTCATACCGACACCACCCCTTAACACCATCAGGATGCTGTACCCTGCCAGAACTGTCCCCTCCCCCCTCGATCATTTTTGATTTCTAAGAAATCCTCAATTTTCCATTCAGCTGCTGTGACAGTTTACAAAGCTATTTCTTTTCCTGCTTGCTGCTGCTGCTCTCCGCTGAATGCATCTGGTGCCCGAAATCCGATTACGACCGATAAAATGTGTCCTTTGTTTGTGTATAATGGGAGCTAAATGAATCTCTGGACTCACCTCTCCCATTTCTTCCCGACAAAATGAAAAATTATTGATTGTCCACATGTAGTTGAATTTGACGACTTTCACCTGAAAACAATAATCATTGGATACGGCCCTTCAGTCATGACGCTGTGAAAAATCAATTTTCCTTTTTTCTCCGACTGTATCGATTACAACTGCCACTGTTCTAATTTTAGTGTAGGCCGTTGAATAAAGCGCGCCACATTATGCACCTCTCTTATGCCACCGAGTTCCGCATTCCTTTGGTGGGAGCATGAAGCAGCGCACAACATCGCTGAGCGAACTCATCGAGTGAGGGGGTCGTATCCGGGTCACGAAAAGGGGGGTCGTAGGTTTCGAGAAAATATCTTCAGATTGCCGATTTTTTTTTTTGTTTCTAACGCACTAAATTTTCAAAGAGCTGATGTTTCCGTTATCTGACGCCTTACATCCTCCCCCCCCCAACCTTACCCCTCCCCCTTAGTCGACCGCACGGCAAAGCTACTGCGTACACTAAAACAGTTCCCAGGAGATGCGTATCTTTGCTCGATGGCAAATTTTTTGGAGAAATTGGTAAGGGCGTAGGTAAGCTCCGGAAAGGTCAGGAACCAGAATAGGAACTTGGATGAGAGGGGAGGGGTAGTGGCACCACTATTTCATCCATCTTGATGCTGTATCCTTTCACGAAGCATGAAAAGACCGAAAAAATAGTTTTCCATGAAGGACACATAACCATAAAGCTCAGGAATCTTGATTAAGAGGCCTAGCGAGTTGTTGAGAGGAGAGGGGCCATTATTTTGAAAAGTTTCTCAACGCGATCCTCACTTTGCCCCCCACCCCTATGCACTTTGTCCCTACTGCGGCATGCTGAAATCGAATGGAACAATTACAGTGCTTTGAGAAGGGGCTCAAATACCACAGACAAACAAAAAGGCTCGAGGACACACGGCATAGTTGCTCTAATTCCCCTGTCACTCGCCCCACTACCCCCATAAACTTGGCCTTGCCCCAGTTTCTTTTGAGGCAATTTTTGGTAGTTCCGTGACCGAATAGACACTACGCGGACAACTTTACTTCGATAGTAAGTAAATATTATAGTGGAAAAAATGGGGCCAATTTACATAGTGATATAAACAAGGTCACAGCGCGATCGAGTGTGCCAAGCAAACGCCTTTGGTTATGCGCTTCCACAGGGAGCGTGGGTTCCGGAATATTTTTTGTGGGTATGATTTGAAGGCAGTCTGAACCTTTGGGTAAGTTTGCGCCCAGTGCTACTTTGGTCTAAATAGCGCTCCGTGACTGGAGCGCTATTCAGACCAAGTAGCACCGGGCGCAAAATCATACCACAGCCCCTCAAACCGAGAACTATAGAGCTGCCGCTCGACACGAAGCGCTGGCACGATATCCTACGGCAGCGGACGTCCAAGAAGGTTGAAGCTCGCGTCAGAATGATTGAGACGAAGATGCTACGCTCAGGGCCCGTCATGCGTTAGAGACTCCCAGCGAGAGGCGGAGAGGGAGGGGGGGGGGGCGTACGAGGTCGTAATAGGTCGCCGTACGAAGGAAGTTAGTATTTGCCTTTGTAAAAAATAAGAAAATGTTTTGCTTGTTGACTTCCCTCGGTTTTGCTTTCCCCACCCCACCCTCTGGACGGCAGGTTTTCGGGAAAAAGCTGGAGAATTTCCAGAAAAGAATTCCAGATAATCCAGCAAAGTGGTAGGAAGACGATAGCTGGGATAGTCGACGGGGAGAAAAAGAGGGGGGGGGTCGTACCAGTGGAGGAATTCGAGGAAAATGGGGATCTTATTCGGTAAAATAAGACCCCCAACGGCAGGACTCGCCTTGGTTACATTGCACGGCTGGCGCCAATTCGTAAGGATCGCATTTGTGACGAGGACGTACGCAAGAGATTCCGCTCACAGATGATAAACTGCGCGAAGCTTGCCTCTGATGGTACGGCCATGTACTTGGCGCGTAGGCCGGCACCGTCCGTAAAATGGCCTTCAGCTCGTGGTACTCGGAAAGCGACCTGAAGGACGCCCTGAACAATGCTGGCTCATTGCATGCAAAGCTGGGGATAGCTGACACCCCCCTTCCCCCTCCCCCCCCCTCCGCGACCAGGCATTCAGTGGGAGAAACGTCGTCAGAAAACCAGTAAAGCTGACTCCAGCATGGTGGGAGTAGCGCCAAAGAACAAGACCAATAACGCCAATAAGAGCGGTTACCCCGCTTTTTTTTGCGCAGCTGACATCATAGTGACGTAAATACTTGCAGAAAAAGCCTGAATGCTGAACTCTAAAGCTCCTAGACAGCAGCTGGAGACACCAAGCACTAATATAAAAAAAAAACCCGAAAATTTAAATGCAAAGGCAGATCGAAGTATGAAAATAACTAAGCTAGACGAACCTGAGTATGGCACCAGTTTTCGGCAACCGGCATAAGTGGATCAGGATGTCCATGTGACGGTGAGGGTAAAGGGCTATGTGGACGTGTTGCTTGTGGTTGTGAGGAGGCCGGTAGACCTTGGCCTGGACCACCGCTTACTGACTCGTCTTGAGCCGATCCGTCGTCCACCATCGTGGTCACCGTCGTCTCTTTCACTTCAGGAACGCGACCTGTTCCAGCTCCAAATGATGATGATGATGACGATTTCGGCTTGTCGTCGACACTCACTGAAAGAAATATTATCAGAAGCCGATGGCGGAGACAATCGGAGAAAGCTGAAAGCAAAAATGACTCCGACTCAGCACTAAATAAAGTGGGGAATGGACATGACTCATACTATTCACTATGGAACAAGCAGCTTCAGATCGTATCAAAACAAATCGATAATCAAGTTCAGGGCGCAGTTTGCCGACGGGATAGGGGGGCATTTTGCACTTTCGTTGCTTCACTAGTTCTGGTTTACAAGTCTCACTCTGGTGAAACCTGTGAACTCTTGTGAAGCTGGAGCAAGCTCGTCAAGCCATCATGGTAAAACCTGTCAACTCGAGAAGAGGCTGTCTAGATGGGTCGACACGTCGATGGGAAGTCGTTAAAGTGCAAAATGCCCCCCGTCGCCAAACAGACCCAAATTTAGATAAGCCTCTGTAAAAAGAGGCGCAGTTCGGCTGATGGCGGCACCAAATGACACTCAGCCAAGCTTGCACAGTCCACCTTAGAAGACCTCTACGTTCCTATGATCAAGGTGGTTCTCTAGAAAAATTTCACACCTTCATAAGCGTTTGACCATAAAAAGACCTGTTAGTCAACTCGAACCACAAAAGGAACTACCGAAGTGCAAAGTGCCCCCTCCGAGCCGAACAGCACCAATGGTGAAGAAACAGGAAAACGCGGAAAAAGGTGCAAACTGAGGGAACAGCTAACCGAATTATTGCTTACAAGCTGGATCACGAGTTTCTTTCATCAGTTCAATAACTGAATGACCACTAGGGTCGCTAGTATAATTCTTTCAGGCTCATTAGTGAAAAAAAGAATCGACAAATGAAAAATACCCATTACAACAGAAACCAGTATTTGTTCAGGAAATCAAAAGGAATTTATTAAGAATAGATATATCGGCAGAAAATTAAACGGAGCCAACGGGTTTCGGTCGCGATTTCAGAAAAAAAAACTTTGAGAGTCCGGGCTAATGCCGTTTGGACGCGCTCACTGCGAGCTCATTTTTGAAGTGCCTAGACCAACAAATCCGCTGAAAACTTGCAGGGGTAATCCAACATCCTGGTTTCGAATATGACACTCATTCTTGGCGCTGGCGCTAATGGAGGACACTACGATTACCTCCTGGGCTCAGCCTTAGCAGAGCGCAGATAATCGTAGTGTCATCCATTAGCGCCAGCGCCAAGAATGAATGTCATATTCGTAATCAGGATGTTAAATTACCCCTATATACAAGTTTTCAGCGGATTTGGTGATTTAGGCACTTTATAAATGGGCTCGCAGTCAAAACTGAGCACGTCCAAGCGGCATCAGCCAAGATTCCGTGGAGACGCACTCTACCTTTGTGGCCTTACTGACCATTTTCTATGGCACTATTCAACTATTACTACCCCAATTTTCCGAAAACAGGCCGGATCTTGATCGACTTTTTTCTACGGGGGCAGATTTGGCTGAAAGTTGGGTTCTAGGGGTAATTCGACCTCCTGAACACGAATATCACATCCGCTCGGCCTTGAAACCGCCTGGCGCCCGCGCCACAGGCGCCGGCGCCAAAATACCCTAGGTCACCAAATCCGCTGAAAACTTGTGCGGAGGTTATTTGACATCTTGATTACAAATATCACATTCATTTTGGCGCTGGCGCTGATGGAAGACACTACGATCATCTGCGCTCTGCTAAGGCTGAGCCTGGCCTAAGGGAATCACTCCTTCTCCCAGGCTCAGCCTTAGAAGAGCGCTAAATGGCGCTGGTGTCGAAAAATAAATGTCATATTCGTGATCAGGGCATCAAACAACCCATTATGCAGGTTTTTATCGATTTAGATAAAAAAGGCGTGGCAAAGCCAAATCCACATCAAGTAACCCCAGTATACAAAGTTGCATCGAATTTGGTGAGAAAGCTGGCGGCGCCAAGCCGGCGCCAGTTC